CACGGAGAATCAGGCGAAATCATTAACGACGGCCAATGCCATTTCGCGGAAGCTGTAGAACCTCGACGGGTGTTATAATAGAGATTTGTTTCTTGGCTAATTTTGCTGTACGGGATATAAATGGTTTCTTTTGAATGATTTTTCGAACGATTTAATGAATTTTTAATATAGTCATTAATTTTTTTTACCAATATGCTTATCCGTACTAAAACTTGTATTCGAGTGTATATACATATCTACGATGAGGAAGAATATTTCAAGATAAAAATTTTTTTAGAAACTGATTTTTGAGAAACCAGAAACTGCTTGCAGAAAATTATTTAAGGAATAACGTGGTAAAAATTAGGGTGGAGCTTGACTCTGAATCGATTAATTAAATTTAATATGTCGCGAAAGGATGCATCATCGATAATAGGCCCAACGCTATTAATTATAAAATCTATATTTACGGATCGTCCGTGAAAACACGTTTCTACTGTAGTATTTATTTAGGCTGACCTACGACCTCCTTTCGAATATAAATTTCCATACCGTTATATACCGGACAAGTTTCTTTATATATATATATACAGCCATACAATTAAGAATTAATACCTTCAATCGATTAGCTTACATTTTAATCTCGAGATTAGTCAACACCGACATACTTAATGACACTCGTATCCATCACACACGACCAGCCTATAATTTCCGTTCGAAAGCATCCGATAGTCATCCTCGCGAATTACACGCGAAGTGTGTCAATATCGCAAAAAGGGTGAAATCTCGCATTCATAAGAGGAATTGAAAAAAGCATTGGAAATAAATAATATATATCTGTCCCGGAGACCTAAATTTTTTCAGACACATCCAAGTGATTGTCAATCAATATTACTTGGTAAAATTTGTACCTGAATTTTTTTTATTAAACACAAATAATCGTTCTTATAAAATAGCTTGTGTCATTGAGCTATTGAAATTGCATCTTGAGAATTCTCATAATTTGCAAACTCGAGGTAGGTGAACCCTCGAGAGTTAACCCCAACGTGACAAGACACCACCTCCAGCACCCCCCCGCCCACCCCC